AGGAACGTGGGGCTCTGGTAAAATTCGGCATTGCCAGGAGCTCAGGTTTGGAGTGAGTCCTGGGTGGGAGGCTGACTGCACCTTTTTAGGCCATTCAGGGAATTACCTGGGATAAAGGGCAGTGTAGTGCCTGGTGCTTGATAAAACTCTGCAGCTCCAAAACCTCCCATGGCTCCCCACTTCCTGTCAGATGAAACTTAGGCTCCTGTGACCCGAACCTCTCTCTGTAAGTGAATGTCCCTACTTGACATGATGCGCAGTCACACCCACTGCTGTCCCATCTCTGTATGTTTTATTGTCTCCTTCTCTACACCACTATCTTTCCAATTAAGCCGAGGGTTCCGGGAGAGATGGACATGGAACAGGCAGGCAGGAAGGGCCCACTCTGCCAGGACAGAGAGGATAGTGGAACCAACCCTGGCTGTCCGTAAGGTGTCCACCCTCGTGACCTTCCTCTGTTTGCTAAATTTTTATTCATTCTCCCTGGCCCACTGTAAGGACTGCTGTTCTCCTTCTCAGTTCTTAGAGTCTCTTCTCTTAGCACTGTCGAGACCGTTTTCTGGCATCCTCATTGACCAGCTATCACATGCTACCTTATATTGCGGAATTACTTACCTGTGTGGGTCAGTATTCCCCTAAGTAGGGGGCGTGCCTTTGGAATGGGTTATATCTGATAATGCCTAGCAAGTACGCAGTGTTTTGATGATTTGCATTCATAGTTCTATATTTTGCAAGAAAACCAAGGGTATAGCACTGCTTCAGATAGTTGTTAGGAAGAGGGGTCAGGGCATGGATTTTTTTTTTCCATCCATGAAAGGAACTGCTGCTCTTAGCTCTTTAGGGTTCTGGTTTACTGATAAGATGCACAAACCGACAGGTGCTAGATTTCCCAGGTTTATGTGGTTATAATGAAGGTATTACTTTCCCGTATCTGAACGTAACTGAAATGTCCAGGGAGCAGACACCTGCTCTGGGTACACTTTGAAGCTCCCTTGGCTTTGTGGCTTGGGATCTGCTCTTGTAAGATCTGGCACTGTGACTTCTCATGTGACCATCCATGCCTTTCTTTGGCACCTCTCTGACGGCCTCCTGTCAACTACTCCTCATGGTGCCGTAGTGGCCCAGTGGTGGGAGTGGTTGCCTCTTGATTTCAGCTCATGTCATGATCTCAGGGTGGTGGGATTGGCCCCTGTGTTGGGCTCCACGCTGGGTGTAAAGCCTGGCACTCTCATGCTTGTTCTCTCTGAAAGAAAGAAAGAAAGAAAGAAAGAAAGAAAGAAAGAAAGAAAGAAAGAAAGGAAGAAAGAAAGAAAGAAAAAAGTTCTTCTTGCCTAGCATCTTGTAAGCAAAGTCGGTGGAAGCTAGTGCTTAATTATTCTCTCTCTCTCTCTCTCTCTCTTTTAACGATTTTATTTATTTATTTGTCAGAGAGCGGGAGAGGGCACAAGCAGGAGGAGGGGCAAAGGGAGACAGAGATCCAGACTCCCCGCTGAGCAGGCAGCCTGACACGGGCTCCATCCCAGGACCCAGCGATCAGGAGCTGAGCCCCCCAGGCATCCTGTGACCAAGTATTCTAGTACTCTGTTTTGTTGATTGAATAGATATTTGTCCAAGAACTGCATCGTTCTAGACACTATAGGGAAGATCAAAGAAAAAAAAAAGACCCTTTCTTTGGGTCTTTTGGGTTAGCGCCTTCTTTTTGAAAAAGCCAATGGTTAACCTCATTCAGTTCCATACTGAGTAGATGCACTGTTCTCATTTTTGGTCGCAAATTTGGGCTGCTTCATGTTGATCCCTATTAAGTTTGATTTTTAGAAGATGTTTTTGGCCCTGACCACTTTTTCCCTAAGAAATCCCAATTTAATGTGTTATTGGGTTCAAAAGAAGGCGTGATGCATCCAGTGAAAGGGGGATACCCAAGGCATTCATGGAGGAGAGGATGTCATTGCCTTGCCCTATTCTGGAAATTTATGGACAAGAAAAAGAGCTCCTTATTTTAATGAAGCCAGACAACTTAAAAAATATCTTTGGATCTTCAAAGTCCTCTAGAAGATGAATTACAATTTATGTATTATATTTCTCATAGTTAACATATCAGTTTTAGGTAGGTTAAGTTCATGTTACTAAGGTATTTCTGGAGGCTAACATGTATATACTTTGGTGGAGAAACTACCATACAACTTGTACCACTAAGATGTATAGTATAATTTAAACCATGTACCAAGTTTTTGGTCTAAATCGTGTAGGATAAATTAAACTTAAATTGCATTCTATTATGAGTATGTATTATCAGTATGAGTGCATTTCTGCAAGCATAGTTATGTTGAAATAAAGTTTTAAAAAGTAAAAAAAAAGTGCAGTATTTTTGTACCCATTTTTTAAAGCTGTTATATGCAGAAATAGGGTCAGAGGGTAGAGAAGAGCCTCACAGGATTCCAGCCCCAGTGCCGACCTTCACCCATACCCCCTTACCCTTCTGGAGCCCCGGAGTTCCATCTTGTCAACCTCAGGACCTTTGCAGTTCTGTGGTTCTCTCGCTCTCTCAGCACGACTCTCTTTCCAGCTCCTCTTCAGATAACTGAGATAGGAGATAAAAGACCACAAGCTTCTAAAAAAAAACTGCCTCGAGTTAGTGATTCAGCTGCTCAGGGGCTGGGCAGAGGAAGACCCAGGCATGCTGGGCAGTTGGGGAGGACTTCACCTGGGAAAGGCTGAGCTGAATGCAGAAAGTTGGAGGAAAGGAGTTTCATGGTTTGTCTTTAAATTTTTCTGTCTTGTCGAGCTGATCTCATCTGAGAAATCACTACTGATAGTAAAAACCAAAATATTTCAATGATGTGTTGTTTGAAGAGAAATCTGACCATTGGACATTCTGAGCAGATGCCAAACCACAAATAATCCCAGTTCTAGGGCATGGCCAACTCAGGGATGTAAGTTTACGTCCAGCCCCCCAGACCACTGGCTTGACTTCAACGAGCTTGGGTTCTCTGCATCTGCCCATCCCAGAGACACTTTGTTCTTCCCTGCAAAGATTCTCTATTTAATAATAGAGCCGTATCATTCCTTCTAATAAGTCGGAGGCCTAGACTGTTAAAATGGGATATTCTGTCCTGTGCTGTGTCACAGTACATGGTAGCATGTGGTATCAGACATGTCTCGAGGCTGGTCCCGTTGTCTGTTGTCACTCGGAGCCTCACGACTGCAGGTGACCTCAGTGCATGCTTCTCTTACCATCTAGTCTCACTGTTTCACCACTGGCCTTGCCTTGTCTGTACCAGTCAATCCCATTTTCCTCTTTTGTTTTCTTTTTAAAATTGTTTTCCTCTTTAGATTTTCTTCTGAAAATGTTTTCAATGTCTGTTTCTTCATTGGTTGTAAAAAAGTTGGAGAATACTGAAATTCACCAAGGAGGAAATAACAATGGTCCAGATTCCCAATACTCAAGAGTTAATGACTGTTCATGCTTTGGGTTGTTTATTCTCAGTCTGTCTCTATCTTTCTTGTGCACTTCAATACCCTAAAAAATGAAGATTTTTCCCCACTAACAAGCTGAGGACGGTTGGGACTACTACATAGGAAGTTTCGGTCTCTAACCTGGAGTGCTGTGTTAGTCAGGCTTCTGTTGCAACACTGCATAACACACAATCTCCAGGTCTCGGCGTCTTATAACAGTGATGTTTGTTTCGCACTCGAGGTGTGCGGGCGGCTACACATTGAGCTTGGCTGGCTCAGCTGAGCTGGGTTGACTCCAGGCTTCATGTCTGGTCCACACATCACCATTTTAGGGCCTTGGCTGAAGGATCCACAGCCACCTGAAGTGTGCTCTTCTCTTGGCGAAGGCTGATTGGTGGAAACCAGCCAGGCTTTCTAAGGCCTGAGCCCCAGATTGGGGCATTGCCATCCCACCCACATTTCATTGGTCCGATCAAGTCACTTGACCAAGCCTGAAGTCAGTAGGGTGGAGAATACTCCTCCCATGGGGGGCCAAGATGTATGGGTTTGTTAGGGCTGCGGTAACAAATACCACAGACTTGAACGAAGGAAGTTCATTGTCTCATGGTTTTGGATACTGAAAGTCTTGAGATGAGGGTTTCATCAAGGTGGATGTCTTCTGAGGCCTCTCTCCGTGGCTCGTCAGTGCTGTCTTCTTCTCGTGTCTCCACATGGTCTTTCCTTTGTGTGTATTTAGCCCTAAGCTCTCCTTCTTATAAGGACATCAGTCATACTGGATTACAGCCCACCTGAATGACCCCACTGAACCTCAGATTTCTCTTTAAAGACTCTGCCTCCAAATACGGTCACATTCTGACATACACTAGGCATTAGGATTTCAAGATATGAGTTTGGGAGGGGACCCATAACACATAGTAAAGATGGGAATTGAAGGAAGGATTGTAGATAAAGGACCCCAGGCACTTAACATCAGTAAGGCTCAGCTTCCTCATCTTTTAAAACAGGGACAGGGATTTCTACGTTATGGTTTTATTAGGGACTGAATGAAAAAATTCCTGTGAACCCCCTGCTGGTGGAGGTGGTAGGAATGGGTGTGGTTCTACCCCTCAAGGAAGGACCAAATCCAGCCATCTTGGGCCCATCACCTTGTTGTTCTACCATGCGGGCAAGCTAGGAGTATGCAGTGCTTCTCCGAATGGCCTGCTTTCCTCTGCAGCTGTACCATCCGTGGAATCTTCATGACAAAGTCAATAGGGCCTTTTGGGTGTTCAATCTATGACCTTGGTTTTGGTAACACCATTTGTACCTATGAGCTATGGCTACCATCTTTCCTTTACTACAAGTAGTTATTGAAGACCTTTTATGGCTTAATAGGGCTGTGGGCTCCCTGTTGACCTGAGGCACGGCCTTCCTCCCAAAGGACCGCAGTTGAATGCCTGTGGGAACAATAAGTGAGCCAGGAGGTCAGAGCAGGGAGTGTCCCTCTCTCTGACTCTTTGTTCAAAGCCAACTGCCTCACACAATCTCCTTTTGGTTTTCTCCCCTAGAATATTGTGTTAAGGAATGGTTCTGAGACTTTTGACTCCTGGAAGAAGCCCCCTCTGCCTGTGTATGCCCAGTTCTATTTCTTCAACGTCACCAATCCAGAGGAGATCCTCAGAGGGGAGATCCCTCGGTTAGAAGAAGTGGGTCCGTATACCTACAGGTGAGTCCTGACCACATCCCTGCCGCACCAGCCGGAAATACGGAGTGACCCCACTGGGGGTGGAGTCCACTTCTCTTCCCACGAGCGTCCTTTGTTTGCTGCATGGGGAGCACAGGTTTGGTGACATCTGTCTGAAATGTTGCTGGTGTTGGGCACATGCCTGTGACACCTTGAAAGAGAAAGGCTTTGTGAACTAGGGCCAGTCTCAACCTGTTAGATTTAGGAATGCAGCTGCCTCCTCCCGAGTTCGCTGAGAAAGTGGTTATTGAGCCATGAGGAGCTATTCCCTGCCCGCAGCCCTTTTAAGGTTACCCCTTGATTCTCTTTGATGACTTTTAAGGCCTTCCTCTCTTTCCGTCCCCCACATACCATTTTAGACCAGGTCCTGGAATTTGTTGTCTACAGACAGGCCTTTCTGTCTCCTACTCACTCCTTTCCCCACCCCTCCTGGGCATGAGAGATAACCAAGTGGCAGGGTAGATTAGAGCCTCTGGCAGGGATGACCAATCCTGAACACGGGGGAGGTAGGAGAATCACTTTAATCATTTTCTAGAAGATTAGTAGAGGGAAGTGCTGGGGGAATCTTCTGGTCAGAGAACTTTCCCGATGGTTGCCGTACCCAGCCCCCCACCCCCACCCCCAGTAACCTTTCCAACAAAATTTCTCCTTACCAAGTTTAAGAAAAATTAGAGGCAGGGAGCCTGGCTGGCTCCGTTGGAGGAAAGTGCAACTGCTGATATCAGGGTTATGAGTTCAAGCTCCAAGTTGGGTGTAGTGATTAGTTAAAAATAAATAAATAAATAAACTAAAAAAAAACAAAAACAAAAAGCCCAACAACGTTAGAAGAAGAACACAGCAAGAATTTTTTTTTGGGGGGGGGTACAGAACTGCTAAATGGCAAAAACACCTCAGAATTCTGTTATAATTTATTGCTTAATAAACAGTTGCTAACTAATGCACATTATAAATTAGCATTGTTCCCTTGCAAGAATTCAGAGATAAAAATCTTGGTCCCATGGGGCACCTGGGTGGCTCAGTCAGTTAAGCAGCCCAACTCTTGGTTTCAGCTCAGGTCATGGGCTCAGGGTGGTGAGATTTGAGCCCCGGGTCAGGGTCAGTGCTCAGCGGGAAGATCCTTTCCCTCCCCCTCTGCCTCTTCCTGCCATATATGTGTGTGCGCCCACACTCTCTCACGAATAAATACATACATAAAAAAAGGAAAGAGAATCCCTGTCCCTGCCTCAGGTGTTCACGGTCTAGCTCTGTAGTTGAATTACCTGTTTTGAATCTTACTTCAACCACGAACTATTTTTTGTGCCTCTGTTTCCTTACCTGGAGATAATAATAGGACAGGCTTGTTATAGGGATTAAATGAGCCAAAGAGTCAGTATTTAAAAAGTGCTTAGATTAATGCCTAGCACATGCTTAGTGCTAATTAAGTGTTTGGTATTATTACTCATCTTAGCGGACCGTTTTAGTCTGTATAAACCAATATCCAGATTTGTAAAGATGAACCCTGCTGCCATATAAGGGAATTTTAAATAAATACTTGGGTCTTCACTCCTAAAAGCAAAGTTCTGTATGGGTTTAATGCCTCCAGAAACTATGCACTAGGTAGACCTGGTCTGTGTTTGTGGCTGCCCTGCTGAGGGATAATTAGAAGTTGAACTAGAATTTAGGATCTGAATGTCCTGTTTATCTGTTTTCTCATTTTGCAATTTTAACCATTTTCTAGTGCAATTAAAAGAAAACAATATAAAATGCGTAACCATTTTTAAGTGTACAGGTCCGTAGTGTTAAGTATGTTTTTACATTGTTGTGCAAGAAATCTCTAGAACTTTTTTTGTCCTGCAACCTCTGAAACTGTAACCATTAAGCGACTCCCCTCCCCCGTCCCCTAGCTCCCCGTAGCCACTACTCTACTCTGTTTCTGTGCGTTGGACTGCCTTAGGTACCTTGCATGAATGGAACCGTACAATATTTGTCTTTTTGGTGTTTTTGTTTTTTCACTAAATTTTTTTGGGCAGAGGGAGACTGCCTCCATGTAATAATGAAGTCACCTGAGAACTAAGGAAAACATTTGCCCTCAGGGGCTCCTGGACCTGTTCCTATGGTCCATATCTTCATCTGAGAAAAAGAGATGTGCTTCAATCATAACCCAGAAAAATACCAATATTCCATTAAAATGTCTTCCAGGCCATTGTGTCTGCTGATTTAATGTGCTGTTGTAGATGTGGTCACGGGGAGAGATAAGTCCTAGAAGTAAAGCAGTGTCTGTTACTCAACTCCCACCATTTCCCCTTTTAGACGGGCCAAGACTTACTCCTAACAAAAGCCCGGGAACATCTTGCTAGGGGTTGTTAACTCGGGATCCACAGGTCCCTAAGGGGTCCATGGTTAGAACTGAAAGTGGTCTGTGGGGTGCGTGGGTTAAAGCCTCTGCCTTCGGCTCAGGTCATGATCTCAGGGTCCTGGGATGGAGCCTCGCATCAGGCTCTCTGCTCAGCTTCCTGCCCCCTCTCTCTGACTGCCTCTCTGCCTACTTGTGATCTCTGTCAAATAAATAAATAAAAATCTTTAAAAAAAAGGAAAGTGGTCTGTGACTTAGGTGGGGAAAAAATTATGATTTATCTTCAATAACCACTCACTAAAATTTAGAATGTCCTTTGAGTATAAATGTAGGCAGCAAACCACAATGATGTGAGCCGGACCCGTGGCTTCATCACCAGTGGAAACAGATACTGTGTGTCTCGTGATAGCTATTGCTCAAGATACTGTACATTCTCAGAAATACTTCAAAATTACAGTAATATTTAGACTTATGACTATATCTAATTTAAAGTGTCAGTACGGAAGCATGTATATCATCATATCACAGATTTTTGTAAATGATACCTGTATTTTGGTAATCGGTTTTCTTTGTAGTCCTGAGTGTTTTAGTCTCTGTATGTTAAAACTTTATCTGAGAAAGGGGACTGCCCCGGGGGTGGGGGGGGGGGGGGGGGGGGGGGGGGGCAATGGCCAGTGGCACAGATTAAAGACCTGAGAGCAGATCCAGTCCTTTGGAAAGCAGGTCAGTCCCTCAGTGATTGCCTGGTATTTCCTTCCTCTGGTTTTTCTCCCTGCCTTGGTTTCTCTTCTGTTCCGCTGCCAAAATGATTTCCCAAAGGGAGATCTGACATTTCCTTCCCTTCCCTGCTCAGGGCTCTAGTGACTCCTCCTCTGTGATATTCCAAGCCTGAGCAATCTGGCTCCTTTCCTATGTCTAGCTTCTTTGTTTTATTTTAATTTCAATTTATTTTTTTGGCACTCTCAACCTAGGCTTTTATACTCTGACCAGAGCTATCCAACAGAAATTTACTATAAGCCACATATGTAGTTGAAAATGTTCTAGGTGTCCCATTTTAAAAAGGTGAAATTAATTTTAATATTTTATTTACCCCAATACCATCCCAAAGAATGCCCTTTTGACATGTAATCAATATCCAGAATTATTAATGAAGTACTTTACATCCTTTTATTTTTTTAATACTAAGTCTTTGAAATCCATAACACATCTCGTTTTGGACCAGCCAGGTTTCAAGTGTGTGATGCAGCCACGTGGGGCGGGTGGCTGCTGTGTCGGACAGCGTAGTTCAGCTGTGTTCCCGTGGGTTGTTGGTCCTCAGACGCAGGACTCTGCCCTTACGCGCTGGTCCCTCAGTCAAGAATGAATTCACCAGGACGCCTGGGTGGCTCAGTCTGTTGTGTCTGCCTTCAGCCAGGTCTTGATGCCAGGGTTCTGGGATCGAGTCCCGCTGGCATCCGGCTCCCTGCTCAGAGGGAAGCCTACTTCCCCCTCTGCCTGCTGCTGCCCACCTTGGGCGTGCACCTGTGCTCTCTCTGACAAATAAATAAATAAAATCTTAAAAAAAAGAAAAAAAGAATGAACTCACCACTGCCTTTCTCAGCTCAAATGGTGCCTCTTCCTGAAACTTTCCCTGACTTTGGACGAGCTCTCCCTGCTATGTGTGTCTGTTACAAACAGACTAGAGGCATTTTAACCGTTGGTTATGTATCTTTCTTCCCCATCCGTGGAAAGCTCCAGGAGGGGCAGAAGTCAAGTCTTTCATCCTGGGATATCCAGTGGCTGGTAAATACTTTGAAACAAGTGAATGAAACATCCTCAGCGGTGGCTTAAATGCACAGGGACACAGGAGAAGGAGTGGTTGAAATCCACAGAATGCAGGTAGCACGGCTGGAACTACAGGACTTAGGGAAGCCCGGGGCCAAGCATGGGTTCAGGAGAGAACAGGGTCTTGGAAAATGAATGCCTTTGTTCAGAGCAGCCGCTCACATGCACGGTGTGGACCGCCCAGCGTTCCTGGCAGGGGCGAGTGGGTAGTGAGCTGGAGTTTGTAGAAAAACCTGCCTTTTTAGCAACACTTGCAGCCCTTCTAGTGAGCCCTCTGCAGTCATCTAGTGGATCTGATCTAGTGGATCACTTGTGTTTTAATTGTGCTATTGTTTCCACAATCAGAACATTCCAGTACCTCCTGCCCCGGTACTTGGGCGTTCCATGTGCTCCCTCCCAGCTGAGTCAGCCGACTTGATTGGGTCCGCAGGGGCCTGGGGCAAGGGAAGGGGAGGGCCTGCGGGCCTCCCGCTGGTCGGTGTGGGTTGGTCTTGGTGGTGGGAAATCTCTGAGAAGGGGAAAAGGCCACCCCACGCTGAGCTGCAGGGGGCCTGATTAATTTGACAAACGCTTTATCGTGGCACATTTCCTCAAACTTTCACATACTGGTAAGTTCAGGATAGTCCTGTTTTTGGAAAAAGATGATGGCAGTTCCACCCTAAAAACCAGTCAGTCCGGTTTAAGGAATGTAGGGCATTATTTACACGCGTATGGAGCTGTGGGTTGAGCAGCCCTGGACGGGCCTGTTAGCCCAAACCAAACTGGCCTCATGGTCCGGTCGCTTACTGATACATTTGCCTAAAACGTATATCCAATTTATGATATC